GTCTCCTCACAAAGGAGCACGAAGCTGGGTTTGTTGACTGTTGACATAAACTCACAGATGGAGGTGGCCGTTGGTTCCTCAGCTGAATATCCAGCCACTTCTCCCAGGCAATAGTATGCAACGCTTAAACAAGAAATCATTTAACTGGGGGCTTGCCTATAGTTTTAGAGGTTTAGTCCATTATCATGGTACGGAGTATGCTGGCACACATGATGCTAAAGAAGTAGCTGAGAGCTACATGTTGATCTGCAGGCAGCAGGCAGAAAGAGACTGGGCCTGGCATGGTCTTTTGAAACCTCAACAGTTCCCCTCGCCCCTTTCCTCCACCCCGCCTTCCACCAGTAACACACTTCCTCCAGCAAGATTATGCCTCCTAATCCTTCTAATCCTTTCAAAGATTTCCACTGCCTGGTGACTAAGCATTCAAATATACGAACCTATGGGGGCCATTCTGATTTAGAGCACCACATCTGCTTTTACACATAGCCTTGGAGTCTCAGGAGGGGCTACAGTATATAGGCTGGGGAAGATAAGAGGATAGGAATTCTACCTACACAGCTATGGTGAAAGGAAGCCATCCCTGGAAGATGCAGACCATTCAGTCTATACATTAGATTTACCCACACTCCTGTCAGCAGCCTCTCATACAAGCTCTGTAAATAAGCTCAATAAAATTATTAGTTCCTCACAGAGATTCAATTTTTGGTTTGTCATTGAGACTCTATGAGAACAGGGGTAGACGTTGCTTAGTCCTCCACCAGGAGAAAGTTTTCACAACAGATGCCCAGTTTACAGGAATAAATAAAACTGTGTTCACAGGAGACGTAAGAAAGATGTCTCTCAGTGGAGGAATGGATACAGAAAATGTGGTACATTTATGCAATGGAGTACCACTCAGCTATTAAAAACAATGACCTCATGAAATTTGCAGGTAGACGGATAGAACTAGAAAATATCCTGAGTGAGGTAACCCAGTCACAAAAGAACACACATGGTATGTATTCACTAATAAGTGGATATTAATCCAAAAGCTTGGAATACCCATGATACAACTCAGACCATATGATACAATACAGACCATATGAAGTTCAAGAAGGAAAACCAGAATCTGAATGTTTTAAGAAGGGGGAACAAAATAACCATGGGAGGTAGAGGGAGAGAGAAAACTGGGAGGGAGAGAGGAGGGGGGAGGGAAAAAGGAGGGCAAGATCAGGTGTGGGAGAAGTATAGAGGGTCTGGAAATTGAACAGAAGTGTGTAGAAGTGGGGGATGGGGAACTGGAGGTAGCCACTAGAAAGTCCCAGATGCCAGGAAAGCAAGAGGTTCCCAGGACACAATGGGGATGACATTAGCCAAAATATCCAACAAAGGGGAGATAGAACCTACAGAGACTATATCCAGTGGATAGAAAAGGCCCCTGTTGAGGGATTGGACTACCCACCTCTCTCAAATATTTTAACCCAGAATGGTTCCTGTATAAAGGGAATGCAGGGACTGAAGGAAAGGCTATCCAGAGACTGCCCCACCTAGGAATTCATCCCATTTGCAGACACCAAACCCAGACACAATTGCTGATGCCAAGAAGTACTTGCTGACAGGATCCTGGTATAGCTGTCCCCTGAGAGGCTATGCCAGAGCCTGACCAATAGAGATGTGGATGCTTGCAGCCAACCATCAGACTCAGCAGAGGGACCCCACTAGAAGAGTTAGGGGAAAGACTGAAGAAGCTGAAGGGGATTGCAACCCCATGGGAAGAACAACAATATCAACCAACCAGACCTCCCCCTGCAGAGCTCTCAGGAACTAAATCACCAATCAAAGAGTACACATGGAGGGACCCATGTCTCCAGCTGCATATATAGCAGAGGATGACCTTATCTAGCATCAATGGTAGGGGAGGCCCTTGGTCCTGTGGAGGCTCAATGCCCAGCATAGGGGAATGCTAGGGCCATGAGGTGAAAGTGGGTGGGTGGGTGAGGGAGTACCCCCATAGAAGCAGGAAGAGGGGGTAGGAGGTTTGCAGATGGGAAACAGAGAAGGGGGACAACATTTGAAATGTAAATAAATAAAATAACCATTTTTTTTTTTTAAAGAAAGAAGTTGAGGGAGCTGGAGAGCTGGTTCAGAAGTTAAAAGCATTGGCTGTTATTCCAGAAGTCTAGGGTTCAATTCACAGCACCCACATGGTGGCTAACAATCACCTGTATGTAATTCCAGTTCCGAGGAATCTGACAACCTCTTCTGGCCTCTCAGAACACTAGGCATAAGTGAGGTACATAGACCTATGTGCAGATACAACACCCATATACATAAACATTTAAATAAAAAATATTGAGGTTTTGGTTATGGCTCAGACACTTGAGGATGCCTTGCCATCAAGAGGTTATTTTATACTTAACTTACTTCTTTGTTCTAGCCTAATGTTAGATTCCTGCCTGAAGCCCATTTCAGGCAGGAATCTAAATCTTCCGCTAGAACAAAGAAGTAGACTTCAGGCATGAAAATGACTTTGGGGTAGGACAGGGAAGTAGGCCCACATATTTAGGTTATCCTGATAACCTCTTAGAAACAGTGATCACGGGAGTGATTAGAGGACTTTGCCTTGCTTGTTCTTGGACTATTTGTGTTTATTGTCTTGCTTGTTCCTTGACTATTTGCATCTATTGTGTTGCTAGACCCTCTACTTACAACTGACATTGATACTTGCATGTAATTAAAATGATATAAAAGCAAGCAAAAAGGAGGTGAGGGATGGGAGAGTTTTTTGGGGGGGGGTGCAAATGGGGAAAGAGGATAACATCTGAAATGTAAATAAATGAAATATCCAATAATAAAAAAGAGGTATTTATATTTCAGCTGCCAGTAATTAAGTGGAAGTCGGCTCCTGAGTCTCTTGAAATAGGGAAGACAGGTACCCATTGTGAGTGCTCATAATGTACGAACTAGGCATGGACAGTGCCCAGAGATCTGATGCTATTGTGTATTTAACCTTTATCCTCTTTCTCTGAATCTTCATGCTTGAAATCTACATTAAAATATGTTTCATGGACAGTCCCAATGAGCTGCCATGGGAATGTTTGGTTTGACCATCTTTCTGAGTTACGATTCAGAAAAGCATCATGGGAATGTTTGGTTTGACCATCTTTCTGAGTTACGATTCAGAAAAGCATCATGTGATCTTAACCCCACCCACTTTTTCTTTTCTTCACACTCTGAGTCTGAGCACGGTCTGCCTGGCACTTTGGGCCAAGCAATAACTAGGGATGTCACTGCCCCTGCTTTGTTTTTTTTTACAGTTTCCTTCTGTATATCTTCACAGACTTAGCTGTCAGGTTTTATTTTCTTTCTCAAGTTTTAGTAATTTTTTTTTTTTGAAGAGTTGGATCAAGATTTCAAAAGAAGGTGCTGGAGAGATGGCTCAGATCCATTGCGATGGTTCTTCTAGAGGACGTGAGTTTGGTTCCCAGCATCCGTATAAGACAGTTCACAACTGTCCATAAAAGTAGCTACAGGAGACTCGTTATCTTCTGACATCAATGGCACTACACTCATGTACACAAACATTTTCCCAATTGCATGTGAGCGCGCGCGCTCTCTCTCTCTCTCTCCCTCTCTCTCTCTCTCTCTCTCTCTCTTTCTCTCTCTCTTTCTGTCTCTCCCTCCCCTCTGTCTCTCTCTCTCTTTGCCTCCCTCCTTCTCTCCCTCTTTTTTATACACACAGAAGATGAGAGAAACACACACCTACACAAACAATAAAAAATGGATTTCAACTTCTCAAGATAGAGTTACTATTTTACTCATCTGGAATTTATCAGGTATACTCATTAAGTAAACTATGGGAAGAATTAACAAAACAAAACACCCAAAAAAACAAAATGACCCCCCAAAACTCAAAACCAAACCAAAAAACCCCCCAAAACCAAAAGCTCAAAACGAAAACAAAAAAATGCCAAATCCTCAGGTTCAAGTAGGAAGAATAAATTTACAGTTCATTGGAAACTAAAGTTCAGCCTCTGATGGAGGTCTCCCAGGCCTGCTGCCCCTGGATCAGGAGAGATGACTGGGGAAGACACACAGGTCAGCATGGAGAGGAGTCATGCTCAGGTCTGGGCTGAACTCACTTCCTTATGTTGTACTGACAGAAGACAGAGACCTGGACACAGATGCCAGCCATTGAAAGAAAAGTCAGGAGTTTTGAAGTCACACAAGGTAGGTATCTCACACTATAGAAGGAAATGATGACGGACAAACACTGGTGATTGTTAAACCATGATACCAAACAGCATCCATACTAAAAACAATTCCAGTATAGCAAGTCCCCCCAGCTCAGGAATATGTTCTCCGAGTACTTCCTATTCTACTGGGAGAGATGCATCAGACTTCTAAGCACTGCCTATACCTACGGCTGTACAGAATAAGACCTGTTAAGAGCCCACAACAATGGAGCCAAGAGAGAAAATAGGTGAGCACTCACAATGGGTACCTGTCTTCCCTATTGCAAGGGTCTCGGGAACCAACTCTGACTTAATTATTGGCAGCTAAAGTACGGATGACTCTTTTACACCCGTGGAAAAAACACAGCCAGTGAGAGACTGAGGAAGCAATAAAGTTATGGAAGTGGGAGGAGTCTCCTAGTCAAACCCCAGAAAGTTTCTAGAACTGTGACTGCAGTTCCATGGACGGAGGAGAAAATACAATGGGAGATTGTACATAAAGAGGACTAACTGGTCTTTTGTGGGTCTGTTCTCAGCAGGGACCTTTCTCTGTGACATCTCTATGTCTGTGGGGAATCAGAATCAGGTCCCTATAACCATCATCAAGAGGGCAGTGGATCTGTCTCTATTTCCTTTGTACTTTATGATAGAGTTAATGTCAGCACATAGCCCCCAGTGCCTGTGTGGATACATCTTTTCTCTAATGAGGCAGGCAGGGTATGCCTATAGCTTGGTCTTGAGATCTCTAGGGAGGTAAGAACTCCAACTCTGGCCCCTTTCTTACCTTTATTTCTTCCACACCAGAAAAATCACCACAGTTCCCACCACCAAAGTTCCAAGAACCAGGCCAATAAGAATTTCCATGATGGGGATCCTTGGTGCAGGAGGCTCTGAGGAGGGAAGGGAAAGAAGAGGAGTCTGACCTTTGCTCTCAACCCTCACCCTGCTCTGGTTCTTCAAAGAGCTCACACTTTTCCTGACAGCAGAGTGTGTACTCACACCCACTCCTTACCCCATTTCAGAGTGAGAGGCTCAGGTAAGCCTTCATGGTGCACATGACAGGTGTATCTCAGCTCTTCTCCAGAAGGAACCACCACAGCTGCCCACTTCTGGAAGGTTCCATCCCCTGCAGGCCTGGTGTCTGGCAGCTCCATGTCCTGGGTGTGGTTGTTCCCATCCCTCTGCCAGATCAGGGTGATGTCAGCTGGGTAGAAGCCCAGGGCCCAGCACCTCAGGGTGACATTGCCTTCAGGTCTTACTCGGTGGGTCACAAGTGTTTGGGGGGCCTCTGAGGGGAACAATTGGAAAATTTAGGTATTTTATGTTCATCGTAAAGATTGAGCAGAGCTCATGTGACCATCCCTGGAAAGGATGGGAGACTGGGATGAGTGAGAGAGCAGAGTCCACACAGAAGCCTAAACTCAGAATCTGGATGATCTACTCTTTGGAGTATTTTATAATAACCATGAGTCAACATAGAGCAGGAGACTCTGGTTTTTCCTCTAGGCAAACAGATTTGTGGTTTTGACTGGGGAGGGGTCTGAGGGTCTCAGAAAGACTAGAGTCAGACATTCAGTGCCATTGTGCATGGACAGTGACCAGGCCTGAGAGAGGCCTTGATGCACAATGCAGATGGAAGGGAACTGCTGCTTAGTCGACACACTGAACTATCCTGGGAAAGGGTGAATCCTCTGGAGAGTCCCTCTCTCATGTTGAGCCAGGAAACTGAGGAGCTAACCTTCCCCTTTGATGCAAGACAGTGTAAGTATTCCAGCTGCTCCCTGCTGAGGAGGAGGCCTCAGGGAAACTAGAGCTCCAATCTGAGACAGCGGAAGGGGTTGGTAAGACTTCTCTTACCAGAGCGCAGCAAAGTCTCCTTTCCAAGGTCCAGGCATCTTAGAAGCCTTTCCATGCAGTCCTCTTGCAGGTAAGTCCTCCAACGTTCTGCCTCGGCCTCCCAGGAGTTCAAGAGGTTTTTAACTGCCTTGCCCTCTGCTGTCCAAGAGCTCAGGTTCTCATTCAGGATGATGTAATCATAGCCATAGTATGCAAGCCGGTAGTGACCACGGAGGAAGCGTCCATCATTTGCCACATTGCAGCCAAACACTTCCTGCAGGGTGTGATAATCTGCCCCACCCCCATTCAGCCTCTGGTCACTATGATGCTTCTCTCCCTCCCTCATTTTTTGTCCCAAACTAAACCCCGAACCAGGTCAGTCTCTGGTTCTCTGGGGTCTCACGTCTCCAGGGGTCCCTTTGACAATGGCTGAATCTCTGATTTGGGAACCTAGAGTGGAGCTTATTGGGCCAGACAGGAGGACACTGAGGCATCATGATCTCAGCCCTGGGGTGACTCACCATTCTTCCAGTGTCCATAGTAATCCACCATGATCCTAAGAAGTTGTCGATCTCTCTCTGACAAAAGCAAGGCTTCTTCTGTCTCCTTCTCCCAATATTCAGGTGGCTCCTGCCCCATCCAAGCAGCCCGAGGTTGCATCCTTGCAGTCCCTCCTTTGCTGTCGAATCCCTGGAACTGTATAGAGTCTACATAGCCGACCTGGATGAACCGGGGTTCCCAAATGCCATACTCCAAAATCATAATGTTGAAAGTCTGCAGCCAGTGTGAGCCTGTGGATGGAGCACATTGATACCCTGAGTCTTCAGCCTGGACCCGGAGCAGGTTGGTAGGGGGCAGAGGAGGGGTGGTGGTGGGTCTGTGAACCTAAGATGCAGGAGAGGGTCAGGGGTCCTCCAGCTAAGGGATCAGGGAAGGTCTGGTTAGGCAAGGGAGAAGATTCGGAAATGAGGAGTTCAAGTGCTGGGTCCTGCTCCCCAAAAGGCCAATTCCCTCTAGGCCCTGCACCCACCTGCACAATACTGGGTCAGGGCCAATGCCACCAACAGGAGGAGGAGGGCACAGGGTGCAGGGTTCCTCATCCTCCCTGATGAGTGGAGTCTCAATCAGGATAGGTATCTCTTCACTTTATAACCCTGATGTGGCTGATGCCGATTGGCTTCTCTTAGATTTCCCAAAGGTAGTGACAGAGACCTGATGGGGGTGGGTCTTGGAGAGATTAATTTCCGGGGGTGCAGGATTTCTAGAGTCCTGCTTTCCCACCTTGCACCCAGTTCTGCAGCCTGGTATCCTGGCATCAGTGTCTAAGCACAAGTCTGTCTGTCTGGTCCAGGTCACAACATCCTTGAGTCCTAGCCCAGAGGCCAGCAAGTCAGCAGTTGTCAAACCTTTCAATGTTAGAATCTCTGTACATGCTTAGACAATGTGCAGCCTCCTGTGGTGACTGTGCTTGTGTGGATTATTATACCAATCCGTATCTATGATGGTAGGAACTAGAGGTTTTGAGAGTTTTGATTCAATGTAGATATTGATAACTAATTGCGTGGAAGGTGAATGAAAAGAGAAAGAACTATTTCCCAACATGAAACGATGCTCTCAGAAGAGTGTTTTTTGATATTTAACATTTCTGGAAGTACTTATTTTCAACTTCCCCACCACTCATCAATGGATTTTGTGTCTTTCTTTGATCAGTTTGTCTTTTTAAGTTTGAAGCACAGAAAAATGCAGTTCCACAGATATATTTTAGGAGAAACAATGTTAAGACTCAATTTTATTTATATATATGTTTGTGTGTCTCTGTGTGTACATAAGGTTCCAGAAGAGATAGTGGGAAAACCTGGATCTGGAGTTGAGGAACTTGTTAACTGCCAGACTCAAGTGCTGGGAAATCAACTCTGGTCTTTTGCAAGAACAGCAAGGGCCCTTCAGGTTAGTTTTCTTTTGAGACATCATCTCAGTATGTAGCCCTAGCTGGCCTGGAAGTGGCCATGTAGACCAGGCTGGCTTAGCACTGAGACATCCATCTTCTACTGGCCCCAAATTGCTGGAATTAAAGGAATTTGTTAACCAAGTGGGCTACTTGTCAATTTTTCTCATTGATAAGTCACTAAATGGGCACAAGTGTTACTTCCTCAAGGTTGTTCACACCGAGGACTTCAAACATCATGGAATGTTTCATTATTGGCTGCATTGACATCCGTAGGAAAATCTGACACACTGAATGAGTGTTAGGTTAATGAATGTCATTTTGAAGTATGACATTATTTACCATGTCCTCTAAGTACCAATTGTCAAAACTCAGTCATTAATATGGCCACATATTTTCCATAGAAAACTTAGTAAGCATTAAGTAGCCCTTAAGTTGATGGTTGAAGAAGTCAAGTGCTTAAAATCACTAATGCTATCTTGGGAGCTTAGAAATTACCTTTATTGAAGTCAACTGGGGAAGGGGTTGGTGGATGATGAATGGACTTTTATACTTCTTATGTTGTAGGAGTAAGACAATACATTTCTAATTATATTACAAAGGAGTTCAAGGTGGGCAGGAAGAAGAGCTCAACTAGCCCTGTGTGGCAGCAGATGAAGGTTCAACATTTTGGGGAAATAGTTGTCACTTAGGTAGGTCCTTTATTCAGCTTCCTGGAGTGAGATCCACTACCTGTGAATGAGAGGAGTCTAGACTGGCTGCTGTACAGTTCTGTGAAGTTAGCAAGAACCTCTGTCCATGTCATTTAAAGTGGTGTGACTCTGACTTCAGTCCTGGTTGATCACAGAGGCTCTGGGCCCAGGGCTGGAGATCCTGCTCTGTGATGTCAGGTTCCAGCATTCTGTGCCCTAAGATTTGCCTGGAGGTGAGGTTTTCCTTTTGGGAACCTTGGAACAAGCTTCAGCAACTCCCTAGAGAGAACCTGTTTTGTTTTATAATCTATTAATTACCTTCCCATGGCTGCTGGCAAAATGCTTGTCAGTGGGTTATCCAAAGCAGTGGTTCTCAACCTTCCTAATGCTGGAAATCTTTAATTCCAGCATTAATCTTTAATTAGTTCCTCATGTTGTAGTGACCCCCAACTATCAAATTACTTTCATTCCTATTTCATAACTGCAATTTTGTATTTTAATCACGATGTAAGTATTTTTAAATAGAGAGGCTTGCCATGGGGGTTATGACCCACAGATTGAGAACCCATCATCTAAAGCCCCATGGTTAGGTCACTTTTGTTTACTAGGTCATAGATGAGTGTGTAAGTCTATAAAATCATAATTTCTCTTTGATTTTTAAAAAATTGGCATGTATTCCATGAAAATGAGACTATTACAGTGTCTCTTCACAGCAATAGAAACCCTAGATGGTGTAAAATATTGTTTGATAGCAAAGCAAAAATGTTCTCTAACAGAATTCTTCTAATGTAGCAGGGCATGATGGTGCATGCCTGTAATCCTAGTCATTGGGAAGCAGAGGAGTTCAAAGCCCTATCTGAGCTAGAGGAGACTCAATTCTCAAAGAGAAATATCAATGAGAAGATTCCACATAGCAATTAAATACTTTCTGTGTACAAGTCTCACCTGATAAGTTACTGAAATCTTTCTTTTCAAATAGTATATTTTGGTTATTCATTTTTTGGTCTTATATCACTTCTTGTTTTATTATTAATCATTCCATTCTTTTACATATTAAATGACATTCACTTCCTGGTTAGTTATTACATATTTTTTCTCGACAGTGTAAGTAGATATACTTAGACTTTCTCAGGTGAGCAGTGTGTCATGGCACACCCAAGCCAAACCAGCACTTGGGAAGTGCAGGCAAAAGAATCAGGTGTTCAAGACCATGGAGATCTGTCGTAGAGGGGAAGACACAGGCTCACTCTGATAGAATCCCCAGAGAATGAACTGGGGAAAGTTAGACAACAGCTGTCAGAGCAGGTGAGGAATGACTTTAAATCTCTAGCTTATCAGCAAAGAAATACAGGAACTGATATAGAGCACAGCAGGGAAGAGTCCTCCTGTCCTGAACTTAAGCCGAACTCTCATGTTAGGATCCTACAGATGAACTTCATGGGTAGGCAGCAGTCACTGACCTCTTTTTCTCTCTTCCCTGTTCTGAGAACAGGAGAGTGACACTTCCCTCATGTGCAGCACTGAGCACAGTTCTAGCTCTCAGTAGAAGCATAAAAGAATACTGGTTGGGGTTGGGACACATGGGCACACATGGACAAATCTGCCAGGAGTAAGCAAGGGTGACTTAGATAAAAACTATTAGCAGCAGTGTGTGATGGCAACAATCATGTAGCTTATTAGCAAAGAATAAAAGGAAACATTACAAAGCAGAAGAAGGGAAAAGTCCAGAGTTCATAAAGTGGGGACTGTGGGCCTAGAGATCACCCTGATCCAGTAGAAGTGACTAGAGCTATGGTAAAGACACAAAGCCCCTGAAAAATCACATTGTGCTCACAGTAACAGATATTTTAAGGCAGGAGAGAGGGAGCAAGGCAGACACAAGTTGTAAGCAGCCACAGCAGGAGAGATAGTGGAAATCCTTCTCCCCTCAGTACTCAATCAGAGCATTTTGTTTCAAAGAGCTCTACTGAGCTGGTGGTTTGTTAGCCCCAGACCCTTCAGTAATCATATTGTCATGACAGTTGGAGCATTGGAATATATGCTGAAACCTGGCCATACACAGGGAGGAAGAAGTTTACATCAGACTGTGTAGAATTCAGCATGGTAGAAATCTGGTTATACCCAGAGTCTGCACGGACCATTGACATGGTTCCAAGTGTGTGCTCACAAGATGGCAGGAAGCTCCTTATAGAGTTAAGGTCATGTTTCAACCTGAGACTGCCAAAGTTATGTTTAGAGTGTGAACAGCATCTGAGACCTGACACATGAGGTGCTGCCTAGCGGTGGGAACTCTACCTTTTTGTCGTGTGAAACTGCCATGTATTGCCCAGGGGTGCAGTAGAGATTTGGGAACCCAGCAAGGACTCCCAAGGGGATCAAAGCTGCAACCAGTAAGCAGGTGAGACTGTATTCAGTGTTTGTATTCCATATGGATGTCTGTCTCCCAGGTGCATCTAACCCTCCTCAATTTATGATACATTTGGTTCTATGTGGCTGCTGTCTTGTGGCAACAGTGCAGCAAACGCGGGTTCTACCAGGACATCACAGTTCATTTTCTTTATCAGGTTTTACTCATGTTTAGTTTGTGAATCAGCCACCTACCAGGGCAAGAAATTCCAAACCACTAGACACTTCTCTTCAGTAAGGAAGCATGCGGTTATAGTTCAGTGAAAACGAGAGTTTAGTTAATGATGGAGATTTCTAAGCCAGAGAGAGATAGCTGGGAAACAGATACAGGTCAGCATCGGGAGGGCTCAGTGCTCAGGGCTGTCCTGGGTTTCTCCCTTTGATAATATTGTGCTGATGAAAGACAGATACTTGGCCACAGTCCGAGAGCAATTGCAGAGCGAAAAGCCAGGAGCTTTTGGAGTAATGTGGGAAAGGTAGAAAACGGAACAATTCATCTATGGCTCATTCCAGCACAAGGCAGCTATCCCATCCAGTAAAGAAAAGCACAGGGGATAAATTCACACCAGTGTCTGTGTGTGGTAACACTCTGAGGAGCTCATCACATGCTCAAACTGTCCCTGTCCTGAGAGTCAGGATAACACATGACGTCATGCTATGACTCCCCCCAAGTTCCCTCAGCCCCCTCAGGGTCACATCATATAGCTTTGACAGGAGCCTCTACATCCTAGGCATTGCTCTTGACTGGGACCAAGAAAAACATGAGCTGAGGATACTTGGCAAGAGAGGGATTGGCTGATGTCACCCTGAGCTCTTCCATAGGCTCCTGCCTGTTCTATCTGGAATCTCCGAGTACTTACTGTTGACCCAAGCATAGGCTCCTCATATTTCATCTTTGGGAAGGAAACATTTTGTGAGAGGCCTAGGAAGCACCAGATTCATGGAGGTCCAGAAGGGTCTCCTAGCTCTTTTCTCAGAGAAGTTTCTTGATGTGTAATTGTGGACCCAGGGAAGGATGAGAAAACAGAATGCAAGACTGTATGTTAAGAAGACCAAC